AAAAAAAAGCAATTTAAGGTCATATATAATCCCTGGTGAAGATTGGTGCCACGTGCCATGGAGCTACATAAATTTTCCCGTCCTTGTGGGTTCCACTGATGAATGTGAAAAAGAAGAAAAGATTATGTGACACGTGTCTTCTAGATAGTGGGGGAATGTGAGGAGAGGATAAAGAGAGGAAGGAAAAATGCTACAAATACATAATATATGACAAATTTGCCCCTAATATTACGACCTTTATCGAAGTTTCAATTTAATCATAATTTTTTCACTTTTGCAAATTATATCACAATCTTTAGTTTGTTGCAAACAGTCTGAAAACAGTTATAGAAACGCTGATGTGTTCGAACAACAAATTGGAGATTGTGATAAATTTGTAAAAGTGAAAAAGTCGTGATTAAATTGCAATTTCGAAAAAGGTCATGATATTAAGAGCAATTTTACCTTAATTTAAAGAATGTTTAAATATTCTTTAAAAGTTGCCACAATTTTTTTTAAAGAATTTCAATATAATTGCCCATACTATCACGATCTTTTTCAATATTACAATTTAGTCACCAACTTTTCACTTTTGCAAATTATATCACAATCTTCTGTTTGTTGCAAATCGGCACACGAATTTTCAAAACCATCCCTAGAAAAGTTGATGTGTGGCCGAAGAACAAATTGAAGATTGTGATATAATTTGCACGAGTTATGCAAATCGGTGCACAAATTTGCAACAAAGAGAAGATTGTGATATAATATGAAAAAGTGAAAAAATCTATGATTTAATTGCAATTTCGAAAAAATTAGTTATATGAAAGGTAATTTTGTCATTCTTGTTAAGTAGCACTCGTGTACTATATGCAATATGGATGCAATTGATCGGTTATATTCTTCGGTTAGCTCACCTCGTGACCATCGCCTATGGCCTCCCTTTGGACGGGCGGTCTAATTTGTTTTCGCCCGAATTTTTCGAGCGAACTTGCTCTTAAGACATCTTCTTCGGTTGTTCTTCTGATAGGAACGGTGTTTTTCGGACAAAATTCACCGGCCATTGTCCAAATCTGGTGATTTTCCTTAAAATTTCCGTTACGTGGTGTGGTCCTTTTCGGTATTTCGGGTGGTTCCTGCGTGCTCGAATTTATTTTTCAGACTAAAATAAAAAACTAATGAAGAAATTAAAAGCGAAATATGTAATTATATTATTCATTCAAAATTCAAAAGTCACATACAATAATCGGAAAATGCTACAATCCCGTTATGGAACCATTCCGTTGGGATTTATAACCGTTAGATCATCAAGTAACCATCAATGATAGTTGATCTAACGGTTACAAAGCTGGTTGTTGATGAGTGAGTACACAATCTATTATATCACCATCGGGACTCTGCATGAACAAATAAACAGAGTATAAATTAATAAAAAAATTATATTGTACAATGTGATAACATTAGCAATTTAAAAAGGGTAATTTTTTTGTTTTTTTTTTTCTTTTTTTGGTCAAGTTTTATTAAATTATTTTTTTGATCATGCGACTTAAAAAAATCTTTGCCATTATAATAACCCTTTGGATTGAGAAGAAAAATCTTTATTATCTTAACATATAAGTTAATTAGTTTCATATCTAAACAATATATATTTTAGGAACTTAAAGATTCATAACATTACTGACGTCATGTATATTTATAATATATTGTCACGTACATTTTACTACAATTGATAACTTTTTTAAAATTATTTGAGTAACTGAAGGTTGATTTGTAATTTGAATTTCAAATTCATTCAAACATTTAAAGGAAAATATCATAAGAAGATTTTTTTGATACATTTCATTTTATCTCAACTTACTTTTTTTTTTGGCCAAAACGATAGAGATATTATAAAAACAATCAAAATACAAGGGCAGCCACCAGCTGAATACAGACAGCCAACAGCTGAATACACGCAGCCAACAGCTGAAAAAGTGGGAGGACAGGTCCAAAGAACCGGCTAGAACCGACCCCAACAGGGTAAAACTCAAGAACACGACAAAAACAATAAAATACTAAAAAATAACACAAAGACCCCAACAGGGTAATACCCGAGCATCTGGCCCCAACAGAGAAATCAAATTGACACTCGGGCTCACAGAGGCCAAGGGCCCAAACAAAAAATACAAGACACTGACACAAACATAGAACCAATAACACAAGACACGGACAAAACAAAACACCTAAAAACCAACTATAAAGCCCTTCCTCGGCAGAAAGATCGAGTCACACCAGCAGATGAACGATCAAAATCAGGGAGAGATCCGAAGGCCCGGTACCTGCAACCTACACTGCCTAATGCCTATCTGAAGCCGATACTAAATCCGGAACCAAACACCAATAAAGACCCGTCCCCAGCGAAAGAGAGGCGACACTCCTCAACGGCTAACACCACTAGCCGTTACCAACACCGCACCACCCGCCTAACACCACTAGCCGAGTACCGCTGCGCCGGCTCCCCCGAACCCAACGGAGAACCGGGGAGAGAAGAGAAAGTCGCCCNGGGGAGAGAAGAGAAAGCCCCCCCCCCGCTCAAACAACCCAGCGCGAGCGCCACGAGTAGCCTGAGCCTCGCCTCTCTCTCCAATTCACCCATCCTCCAACAGCTCGGCATCTCCAGGAAGTCTTCAACCGGAACCGCGTCACCTCACCGGGAGAAGGGGAGTCCGACCGCCAATCAGCCGCCACTTGAGCGAGCTGAGGAGGGAGGACCACCAGATCAGCCACCGAGGGCAGCCGCCGAGGGAAACCGCTGCAATGGTCACCATCGCTACCGGAGAAGGAGACGCCCATCGGAGTAGCGACCATCCTGAACGGAAAAGCCACCTGCCGCCAGAGACGCGCAAAATCAGAGAGGAGGAGCGAGCCGCCGAGGGCTACCGCCGGTCGGAGCCACGATTTCGCCGAGGAAGGCCGACGCCGGAGCAGCTAAGGAGGGCGACGAGCGGCGGATTTGGGGATTAGGTTTTTCTTCTTAGGACGAGCGGCTTTTTGCGGATAACCTTTTTATATCAAGTTGTTTTTAGAAATCAATTAAAAAAATGTGTCAAAAGTTGAAGACATTATTCTACATTATTGCACATGCAATAATGTAGAATAATGTCTTCAACTTTTGACACATTTTTTTAATTGATTTCTAAAAACAACTTGATATAAAAAGGTTATCCGCAAAAAGCCGCTCGTCCTAAGAAGAAAAACCTAATCCCCAAATCCGCCGCTCGTCGCCCTCCTTAGCTGCTCCGGCGTCGGCCTTCCTCGGCGAAATCGTGGCTCCGACCGGCGGTAGCCCTCGGCGGCTCGCTCCTCCTCTCTGATTTTGCGCGTCTCTGGCGGCAGGTGGCTTTTCCGTTCAGGATGGTCGCTACTCCGATGGGCGTCTCCTTCTCCGGTAGCGATGGTGACCATTGCAGCGGTTTCCCTCGGCGGCTGCCCTCGGTGGCTGATCTGGTGGTCCTCCCTCCTCAGCTCGCTCAAGTGGCGGCTGATTGGCGGTCGGACTCCCCTTCTCCCGGTGAGGTGACGCGGTTCCGGTTGAAGACTTCCTGGAGATGCCGAGCTGTTGGAGGATATTTTTTTTTATGATAACGGTCGAATTTAATAATAATAATACATCCACTGACTAAAACGGATTTTCAAAATCCGTTTTTCATTTAAAAACGAGTAAAACGGATTTTGAAAATCCGTTTTTATGTTGATAAATATGACTCGTTCCCAATTTCCTCTCCCAATTCTCCTCTCCCATTTCATTTTCTCCTCTCGTTTTTTGCTCGATTTTATTGCGAATTGAAGCTGCAATTAAAAAAAAAACAAATTTTCCCATTTCATTTCTCCTCTCGTTTTTTGCTCGATTTTTTGGCGAATTGAAGCTTTTCCTGGGAAAAAAACAAATTTTCAACCAATCGTCGAAGAAAAGGTTAGTTGTTATTTTAATATAATGTAATATTAATTTTTGGTTGTTTAAGAGATATATTTGGTTAATTGAGTATTGTTTAGAAAATCTTGAATGTTGTTTAATATATGTTTATGAATTTGGTTAATTGAATATTTATCCAAATTGTTTATGAATTTGATGTTATTGTTGGATTATGGTGATTAGGGTTTTTGTTGTGGCAATGTACTAAATTAATTGACAATTTTATTTTATTTTTTGTTGGAGTAAAAATATGATTAATTATATGATGTTGTTGGATATGTGTTTTAAATGTAGATTGGTAAAATAATAATTGAAATTTTTCTCGGGTGTTTGATTAGTCATTTTAAATGTAGATTGGTGATTAGGGTTTTGTGGTGTTTTTTATAAACTAATTGACAATTTTTTTTGTTCAAGTAAAAATATAATTAATTATATGTTGTTGTTGGAAATGAGTTTTAAATGTAGATTGGTAAAATAATAATTGAAATTTTCTCGGGTGTTTGATTAGTCATTTTAAATGTAGATTGGTAAAATAATAATTGAAATTTTCTCGGGTGTTTGATTAGCCATTTTAAATGTAGATTGGTAAAATAATTAAATTTTTAAATGTAGATTGGTAAAATAATTGAATTTTTAAATGTAGATTGGTAAAATAATAATTGAAATTTTCTCGTGGTGTTTGATTTTTTTTTTATGTTGTTGTAATTTGTAAAATATAATTTTTTGTTGCGCAACAGGTTATAAATGTCGTCTAACGGTCCATACTTTGTTAATGTGTACTGGAAAATTCCCCAGAGTGAGTTATGGACTTTTTCGAATTATATGTCTCGTCCGGATTGTTCATTTGTTATTAATGGAATAATATCATATCAACAATTGGTAGATATGATTTACGAAAATGGTGGGTTTCGTGATAGTTGGACAATTTCGGATATTACTTTGATGGCGAGACAACAGGATGGTTCGTTTATTACCGGAAGACTGCATAATGATAATTCTCTTTCGTGGATTTACTACTCTGCTCCTATGTCCTATGTGTTTTTGCATATAGTGTTGGAAGCAAACACGCAGGTTACACAGGTTGAGGATCCTACGCTATCATATGGTTACGAAGGAATGTTTGGTGGTGAGGATACGTGGACTACGCATGCCGGTAATTTTGGTGAAGGGACGAGTAATTTCGGCGAAGGGACGAGTAATTTCGGCGAAGGAACGAGCTTTACCATGAGAGGATTGGACATTGAGGAAGAAATTGTTGGAGATGAAGATTTCATTCCCGGTGAAGACGATTTCACGGATGAGACCTCGGAAACTGAATCGGACAGATCAATTAATGAGGAGAGCGAAGAAGAATTCATTGAAGAACACCCCTTTCCAAATGGGCCTCTACGATTATCGCGAGATGGGTGAGTGGGACTCGTCGTGTGTAGACAGGGACGAGTATGCCTTGCCAACCTAGAATGGGCGTGTCGAGACTATCCGATTGGGTACAGTTTTTCATACCAAGGAAGAAGCCCGGATTGGTATTAATGCCTGGAATGTCGAGAAACTTAGGGCGGTCCGGACAAAAGATTCCAACAAGAAGTCGTTTAAAGTTGTGTGCAGATCAGATGAAGTTGTACCATGTATATGGAAGGCCCGGGTGAGTCTTAACAAACGGGATCACGGCATGTGGGAGGTAACCGAATGGACCGATAGCCACACTTGCATGCAGGTGTTCGAGAGAAATGACCACAAGAATGTGACCGCCACCATGATTTCAAATCTTTTGTTGGCTAAGATTCAGAAGCAGGTGACCTACAGTGTGGAAATGGTCTAGGCCGACGTAAAAAGTGCCTGGGGCGTCGATGTCAGCTACAAAAAGGCGTGGCACGGGAGAAAAAAAGCCATTGATCGTCTGTATGGCACGTGGGAAACGAACTTCGCACAACTCCCTCAGTAAGCAAAAATAAATTATAAACGTATTTACGTGTCCGTTGTTTTTAACTATATTTATTTATTTATTTATTTATGGTTACCTTTTATAATTTGCAGGTTTTTCGCCGCCCTTCAAAGGGCGAATACCGGTACAGTCGTTGAGTGGGAATGGCAGGGTGGAGAAATGGCGAAGCAATCTCGAGACAGAGAATTCAGATTTGTCTTCTGGGCATTCGGCCCCGCCATTCAAACCTTCGTTCGTTGCCCGCCGATTATTAGCATCGACGGCACGCACCTGCGAGGTTCGTACAAGGGGAAACTACTTGTTAATTGCAAATTAATATTTTATTTTCTAATTTACAATAGTGTCTCATAAAAAAAAAACATATGTCCAACTGGTTAAAAACATATGTCCAACATAGGTCATAATAATAAATAATTATTATTTTTTAATTCTATTTTTTTATTAAATTTATTAATAATTCTATAAATGTTTTTTTTCACAGTTCGATTGGGTACCCTATCAGACGTACATAGACGAGGGTCGGCTCCCGGAAGTGTGCACACAAGACCGACATCTCTGGATGTACAAGGGGTGGATCTTCTGCTGGAACATCGCAGAACCCCACGAGACTGATAGGGTGCTCCGCCAGTTTCGGTGCCACCAGCCCATCCCCCAACAGCCGCTCATTACTAGTCTGGCCGACTGGGACACCCGCCACAAGGGCCAGGGCATGACTGGGAGGGCATACACCGATTGGCAGGCCTTCCATGCTGATCTTGGGAGGATCTGGACCGAAGAGAGAGATCAGAACGTCCTCCAAGATGTCCCGGTGGATCCCTTTCCTGCAGCCGGCAGATGGGTACATTGATTGGTTTCACAGTAGGACTGTGAGACTATTCAATGACCCCAACAACTACGCGGCGATCTCACAGGACGGCGGGTTTCAGCCATATGCCGACCGGGAGAAGTGTCAGGTAACTGTCTTCAATGAAGTAATTATTATTATTATTATTATTATTATTTTTAATATTTGATAGTTATTTGAATTTAATTTTGCAGTTTTCGGGTACGGAGGTGGCGTATAACATGCTAACGAACATTGAAGACATTGATACGCTACCTCCCCGAGTGCAGTCACAGTTCCAGCAAGCCCAGGAACTTCTGTACGCTTCTCTGACTGTTGGGGGTCAGTCGGTCACACAAGGGGCGTCGTCGGAGCAAATTCTATCTCAAGATGAGTACGCCCCACCCCAGCAAACACATTCTCAGCGGGCGAGGCATAGACCGGCGCCCCACATTGGTGGAGGGAGAAGACGCCGTGACCACGAAGAAGGTGAGATTTTTTTTTTTAACTACAAATATATATATTTTTTTTGTTTCTTTTTATTTATTTGTCCGGTCGAATTATTGATTTTTTACAAAAATTAATTAATTAGATGGACAAGAAGAAGAAGAACCAACCATGCCTGGACCGACCGCAGGATCGTCTTCTTTGCAACCGGGGCCTCGGAGAGGGTCCCGAAACCGCAAGGCTAGGAAACCATTTACTCCTGGCTAGTTACTTTGTTTTTGTATTCTGTGATTTTGTGGACATATTTTTTTTTTTGTATTGGATTTTCAGATATTTATTTTTGATGGTTTTGGGTACATATTTTGTGGTTCCTTTTTTTTTTTGTCGGTACTTATGGTTGTCTTTTTCTATATAGTGTTTCATATATGTATGCATGTTAGATTTTATCATTTGACGAATGAATTGATATTAAAATGATATTATTTATTGTTCAAAATGTTAAATTGAAATTTATAAAAAATCTTAATATTGAAGGATAAGAATAAAAAATTCAGTTAAAATAAACACAACGCGATCGCTGATAAACGAGTTCGTGAACATAATCGAGCCTTAAAAAAATAAAAAAAAAAAAATAAATACATAAAAACGGATTCTTAGAATCCGTTTTTTTTTTTTAAAAAAAATCAAATAACAAAAACGGATTTCGAAAATCCGTTTTTAAAACAAACTCGGATTTAATTAAGGTTAATTACTTAATTAAGTAAAAACTCACTTAATTAACAAAAAACGGATTATCAAAATCCGTTTTTCTTTCGGGATTAAGTAAAAACGGATTCTGAAAATCCGTTTTTCCCTAAAAAACGGATTTTCAAAATCCGGCTGTTTTACTTTTTTCCACATTTAATTTTTTATTTTTTATTTTTTTCCACATATTTTTTTTTTATATAAATAAATGATTCAATTGTTTATTGTTATTTTTTTTTAGTGAAATGATGTTTTCTTGTTTAATTATCGTACTAGTGAATTTTGGTTGTTGTGACATTCACTATCTAATAAATTTGTTATAAAACTTACTAGTATAATATCCGTGTATTATACGGGTATTTGTTGAAAAAATTATTCTTAAATTTTAAAATTAATGAAAAAATTATTTTGAAATTTTAAAAAATAATTTTATTATTGTTATAAAGATAAATATATATTTTTTATATATACAATATGGATGTTAAATCGAAGTCGACCAAAAGATGATTAATTTAATATATTATATATGTAAAACTGATAAAAAAATAAAAGTTATAAACTTATAAAATATATTTACATTTCCATAGTTATAATAAGAAATGATATTAAAATCCAATTAATTCATGTAACATGATCATAAAGAATCAATATACTTATGAATAATTCGAACTTATTTTTGGGTTGAAAGTAAATTAAAATCTACGCAAGCCAAATAATGAAGCATGTAATTTTGCCACATAAGATCACGAAACATACGAGTCTACCACTTAAACTCAGTACGTTTTGATATATATAGAGGGATGTTTGTTAATATTCATTGTTAATAGAAAGTTGTTTTCATATATTGTTGTTTTGTTGTTATGATACCACTATCTTGTTTTGGATGATGTGTTTTTTACTTTCTTCGGTGATGCTTTGAAATCATTTTGTATTTAACAAATCTCAAGCATAACATTACTCATCTTTCATTACTCAAATATCAGTCCCGCCAAAATTCCTCTTCTAATGAATACACAAGTGCCTCAAACGTTCAGGAATTCAATAGAGTCAATTCATCAAGATCAATATATACACTGTTTGTATAAAAGTTGGAACAATCCTACCATTTATGAAAATCTATGCATTCCGCTATAAAGTTGTCGGTAAATGAATAAGACTAAAATATAACAACTAAAGTTGATTGAATTAAAGATAATAAAATATTGATCCGTAAAATTGATAGTTGAAAACATATATTGGATCATGAATGAAAAGTATTTTATGCCAAAAGATATATATGATAATAATGTTGGATTTCAGTCGTAAGAATCAATCGCATGCGCAGCGGAATTTTAAAATTTTCTTACCAACAACGAAGATCCGACTATAGCTATTCGATATGATCCTAGATCGCGTGAATGATACGCGAAAACTTACAGTTATTCATCATTTGTCCTCGACTATGGTATCCACGCAATCCAGTTTCCCGATGCACGATCTAACGCCAATGAATCCCTTCCGGTGAAGAAGCTAAGAATCCTCGATCCGGAAAGCTAGAGAGTGTTTTGTCTTTTGTTGATCTCTCAATCTCTAAGATGTTTGGGATCTCTCAAAGTCTCTCTTATCGATCCAACGATTAATTATTATGAAGAGATAATGCGATATTTATAATTAGGTCAAAACCTAATTATATGGGCATTAGGATACCCTACAGCCCAATAGGTAATTAGACCTAATCCAATTAATATTTTAATTAAATATAAATCTAATTTAACTTAATTAAATATTTTCCATCAAATAGAAAATTATCTCATTATTAATTAAGTATAAATCTAATTTAACTTAATTAAATATTTTCTATCAAATAGAAAATAATCTCATTACTCATAAATAAATATTCCAATCTAATTGAATATTTAACACTCTCGATTCAGTCTTATTCGGAAAACTGATTGCATATTGTGTGACCCTATAGACCTTCATATATTGACATAAATTTAATTTATGATCCTTACGAAACTCCTAGACTGCGTCGAAGGACGAACTCAAAATATGAAGTACGTTTACATGGACAAGCAAACAAACCTTTGGTGTAGAATTCAATAGTGATACGGTCCTTTCATTCACGAACCACTCGATTAAGCTTAGGATTTGAGCGTGTGTCTATCCAAACAATCATTTTATCTCATCTCACTGGTTGAGTTTATCAATTATATTTGAACACCATTTCAAATATAATCAGGTGCATTGGCCAATGACTTTATCAACCCAGTATAGAGAAAACGAGTGTTCTCTCGAAACTATATTCGAGGAATGAATCCTATCTTGGCTCAACTACCAATTCCAAGTATATCGTGACCAACCCAACACAAGCCCGTATCTACCATAAGGGCTTAAGCTTTGGACTAGGTCTAAGTAAATCACTCTATACATGAATTGCGTATTGACCTCAAGTCAAAGGACTATTACACCATTCCACACACTGATACTCTCATAGACACATAAACAAATGGTTTATCGGTAGGGTATACCAATACTCTCGAAAGTATCCATGTGTCCATCACGAATAACAATTATTCATAGCAGTGAAACATACTATATTCTCCAAGAATGTGATGCAGACCACATGTCAATCTATGGCGTATCATTAATATCCCTTTCTTAATGATCATCGATTGAGGCAATTTGAGAGTTATACTTTATCAATTAACATCTCACTCTGTTAATGACAGTATTAACTCAAGGGAACAATTAATTAATAAATTACAAAAAATCAAACAATTATTTAATTAATTGCAATACCATAATTATAATCCAATATAATTATTAATGTGATCATGTATATATGTCATAAAAAAGATTGTCTTTAGGACACATATACCAACAAATAATTAGTTTACGTTTTTTAATTATTTTAGTGGGATTTGTAGATAAAAGGTGAAATGAAATTAATAATATATTTTGTAGAATATTTTTTTATTTCATTATCAATTTCAATAAGATAAATGTGGCTCCAATAAAAAACGAAAAAATTTCATATCCAAGCAGACATCAGAAAACACGATCCACTTTTATTAGTTTATTTATTATTAGCGAAATACATTTCCACTTATTCAGACACATCAACTCTCTTGGATTCTACTTAATTAAAACTTCACGAAAGTAACCAAATATAAAAAGAACCTCCACAATATATGTTATTTCTCTTCAAGGACAATTGACATTTCTACCAGGCCCTCCGAAAAAAAAGTAAATACCCCAATCACAATTGGGCGACCGAATTTTTGAATCTGCCAAATAACAATTCGGTGTCGGAGAGAAATATTCGACTTCTAGTGCTTTGTTTGTTTCATAATTTTCATGAAGCACTTCTATATTTCGTATATAAGCTGCTTTGCCATAGCCTTCGTTTGGAAAATGGCCACTACCCATTTGTGTTTTTGTGTGGGCCCTCGAACTGCTGCTATCAACAATTTCACCCCCAAAGCTCAGTATGGTTGCATGATCTTTGAGTGTACCTGTAAATATTTCTTTTGGCCAATAACCAACTTCATCCCCATTAACTTTTAGCCACCAAGCCCCATCTTTAGTTGGACACTGAAAAGAAATTAAAAATAATAATAATAATAATAATAATAATATAAAAAAGGCTAAGTTGCATTTTTAGTCTTGCTAGTTTAACGCCATAACAATTTTAATTCGAAAATTCAAACATTTCGCTTTTTGGTCCTGTAATTTAATACTCCCTCATATTCTATTTAAATGTAGTTACGTGCTTTAACACATAAATTAAGAAAAAAAAAATTCTTGTCAATATTACCTTATTTAAAGCAAATTAACATTAATTAATTTCTTTCTTTTCAGCTTTTTTTTTATATGTTATTTTAAGAAAAAAAATTCATCGTCTTCCATAACTTTCCTCCCAAAACTTGTAGTGTATTAATTAAATGAAGGTAACAATAGAAAAATATGTATAAAATGTCCAAAATGTTATTTATTTGATTAATGATCAATAAAGTCAAAATGACAAATAAAAAGAATAGGAGAGAGTATTTAATTTGCTGCAATTTCAGTTCTTTGAGAATCGAAATTGCAACAAATTTCCAATTTATATTTTTGGGATGGATTTTTTATTAGCAATTTAAGTCCTGTAATTTAAAATTTTATTGCAATTTCAGTCTTCTAATTTAATATTTTACTACAAATGACTGAATTGCAGTAAAATATTAAATCGCAGGAACAAAAGGCAAAAAGTTAGAATATTGAGACTAAAATTGCTATAACGCTAAACAAACATGACTAAAAATGAAAAAAAAAAATTGCATAGTGATATTCTTTAACTATATAAAAAGGATCTATATGAACTTGTAGATACTAGCTATAATGTTTGTCAATAAATTTCTTAAATCATTATAGTATGTTAAATAATATATTTACATTGTTGTAATTTTATATAGATTTTTTTTTTCTACTTAAAATATGATGTAATATAGATTCAGAGTTTTTATTCACCTTTTCAATAGATAAAGTAATGTTATATTGTGTGCCATTATAAGTTGAATAATGCCGAATTGCAGCTCCAAGTACGATGTGTTTGCTGGTTTGAACAAAGCCTGAGCAAAGCAAATTGTAACAACCTGTTTTATTATAATTGTCGGCCTGCAAAAATACATATAATAAATTAATTAATTAAATGAATAAATCCATTCATCTAGGATTATAATTTTCCAGTAAAGTGCCAAAGAAAAAAATAGGAAATATTTATACTTACAGTCCAATAGATGAAGAAGCGAACATGATTGTCACCATAAACCTGTTGAAAGTTATCTGGATGAGTTAAATAGTAGTGCAAACTTGAAAACAACATATTTTTTTATTTATTTTTTATTTTGTGGTAATATGAATAGGTGGATCCAGAAAATTTTATTAGTCAGGACAAAAAAAAGTTTAAAGAAATTTTATATTAACAATTAAATAAATCGTTGGAATAATTGGGTGTTGAGGGGTTCCCTATTCAATTTGTCTTTGACTTGATGCTAAAAAATAAAATTGAGAATGAGGTCTAGTTATTTTATTTTGCATTTTTATTATTATTAAGAAATATACCAAAAATATTTTACAATTATTTTTCCTTTAATTTTTATGTAATAAGAAATAAACAAGTCATTTGGAAATATAATTTATTAACTTAAAAAAGCCTAAATGTCATTATTTTTGTTCATGTTATTTTATAAAGATTTCCTTATGGATTATCTTCTTATATATAAATGTAGAGTTTTTTATTGTCAATTTCCAATGCTTTGTAATTCTATATGTTAATTTCAAAGGATTCGAAATAGTCTATATAAATAGCATAATAATGTGAATTGACTGAATGACCATGCACCTTTCAAAAGATAAAAAATAGGCACTCTTTGTGAAATAATGAAATAATAACCATTTTATTATGTGAAATGACACAATTATTCTTACTATCAAAACTGTTTTCTGACCTGCCAACCGGCTTCCATGGCGTTTACGGCACCGTCCAAATCTTCCGACGCAACCCATATTTGTGCTAAGCTGAATTCATCTGAATTTGCTACGTGTGGACGCCACACATTTATTGTTGCATTTACTCCGTGAAATATCCCGGATGCAATGCCGAACGCATACTGACAAGATTAGCGTAACAAAATATCAATTTTAAAATCACAATTTCTACACTTATACTTACATCAGTCATTATGTTAAAGTTACTTTATGGCAAAATTGCTTTTCTTAGTCATGTTGGTTTAGCGTCATAACAATTTTAATTCAAAGGGTTCAAACATTTCGCCTTTGGTTATGTGATTTAATACTTTTACTGCAATTTCAGTCATTTGAGGATTGAAATTACAACAAATTCTAAAATTCACAGATTTTCGATTAGCAATTTAAGTCCTGTAATTTGAATTTTATTGAAATTTTTGTTCTCAAATGAATGAAATTACAACAAAATATTAAATGACATGATCAAAAGGCAAAAAGTTGGAACTTTAAGACTAAAATTGCTATGACGTTAAAACAACAAGACTGAAAATGCATTTTTGCGTAACTTTATTAAAACCTGAATAATACCAAAACCGAATTGCACAAAATCGAACCGATACTTAAAAATAGCAAACTGAACCGTCCCATTTTGTACGATAACCGATCCATACTCGGTTCGGTATCAGCTCATGCCTGTTAAATGTTCGGTATTTACCAAACCGAATTGTTTTT